TCCAGCCACACCACCAAGTGTGAGGCTGACTCCAGTGTCCCTCCACCGGGTCTTCCCCTCCAGGCCCCAGAGGACCCTGTCCTTCCTGGCAGCTGGGGCACCCGTGGTGGGCCTGGGGGCTCCTGGCCCCCTGAGGCTGTCCCTGGCCTGCAGAACCCCACGGGTGCCGAGGTCTGACCACAGCCCCTGCTGCCATCTCTGTCCTTAACAGACAGGGGCCCTTCTCCAACCCCATGCCTGCTGCCTGGCCCCACACCTGCCCCAGCATGCCCGTGGACAGGCCCCAGCATGCCCGTGGACAGACCCCACCCGCCGTGGCCACACCCGTCTCTGGGGCCACACAAGCACAGCAGAGGGTCATGGCTCTTTAGTGATAACAGTTGTGGACATTAAAATGGAAACCACCTTCACACCCCGTCTGGGCCTCCTTCATCCCTCGCTGGTCTAGCGTCACCTTCTGCAGAAATGTCCCCAGACTGAGCGTCAGGGGGGCAGTGTTCAGACCTCCTCTTGTGGACTGGGCCCTCCCTGGGGGGCCGGAGTCTGGGGAGAGAGTGGGGAGCTTTCTATGGGGGGGCAGAGTGGGGCGGGGGGAGGCAGGTAGGTGTGCACGGTCTCAGCCCTGGTCAAGCCTGTGTTTCTGCACATGGGCTGTGGACAGGGACCCCTGGACATGCTTCAGCCCCCATCTGGCAGGACAGGCCTAATGTCAGATTCATGCAGGAGGCTGCTCCCTCTGTGGTTCAACGGTGCCCCCACATTCTGTGGCCCAGGGCTGTTCGCCCAGCGTGGCCTCCGCTGGGCCCCTGCCAGCCCCTGCAGCCACGATAGGCATCGGTGGCCTTCACAGCTCGCTGCCTCCCTCCCAGCGCGACCAGACTTGGCTTTTCCCACAGGCGGGGGTGGGGGGCGGGGGGCAGGCGGGGAGGGGTGCCCGGAGGACCCTCGGACCCAGCAAATCACTTCTGTTCCTGGGAGCTGGCCACACCTCCACGCCCACCCAGCAATGGCCCCAGGGAGGGCAGTTCCTGCCTGTGCCTGGCTCCCCACGCTGGGCCAGCCGGGCTGGGGCCAGTCGGATCAGGACCTGCGGCCGCCCCATTAACCGCGCCGGTAGCAGATAGCATCGCCGCCCGCCCCTCCGCAGTGTCCAGAGCTGGGGTGCAGGCGGTCATGTAGGGAGTGCTGTGGGTCACAGACACGGCTGACCCCCACCTTCCAGGGGCTTCCTGGAGGGGCTGTGGGCTGAGTCAGGCGGTGTCTGGAGAATCCCCAGGTCCTGAGTCTGAGGGAGACCCACCCCACCTTGACCTCCCGTTAGCACCCCTACCTGGCTACCGCACCCCGACTTCTTATCACCCAATGGACAGACATAAGCCTGACCCTGCTGGCAGGCTGGTGCAGAAACAGGATCAGAGAGACAGGACCCAACCTGTCTAGTCTGTGGGGGTGCAAGATGCAGCCCCTGGAGGCCCCCGCCCTGGACTCTGGTGAGTGACCCAGCCAGCAGGTTGGGGGCACAGCCCCTTCCCCCAGGTCCTGAGATTTCAGTCCTGCTGGAGGACAGAGGCGGTGCTGTCTCCTGAGACAGCAGGTGGTGGAGGCCCTGGGCCCCTGGGGAGGGTGGGCTGAGAGGACCGTGAGTGCAACCAGCCGTGCAGGGGCAGCGTGAAGAATGTCCCAGAGGCCAGAGTAAAGGCCCCGAGGCAGGAATGTGGCAGCACTGGAAGGTACGTGGTGGGGTCAGCAGCTGAGTGATTGGACTCCTTAGAGCTTCCTTGGGTGCTGCTCAAAGGTGGCCCAGCCAGAGCTCTGCCTCCCTGCCCCCCTTCCCCCCTTCCCCCCCTCCTCTGCCAGGTGGCTCCTCCCACCCCCTCAGGCTCTGGTTTCCAACAACAGAGCGCGAGCCCCCCAGGTAGGAGACCCCTCCCCACAGCCAGAGAGGCCTAGGAAAGCACTCCTGCTTCACCCCTCAGGAGTTGGAAGTCTCCAAGGGCTGTGTGGGGCAATGGGCAGGGGCTTGGGCTGCCCCCAACAAGGGCCACTTTCCCTGCCTGGAGAAAAGGTTCTATGGGCAGAGGCGTTTGAGAAACACTGCTCATCTGTCACCCCTCCCCCCACCTCGGACACCTAGACGCCCCTGAGCTCATTCCGGCCTCAGAACAAAACCCACAGCAGCCCTCCTGGGTCATGTGTCTCCCAGAATTGTGTTCAGGGACCGCATCTGGGAAAATAGGGCCCAGAGGCATGGCTGGAAGTCAGGACCTGGTGGAACAGAGTCAAATTTGTAAAACAGGAGGAACCAGCACCGCCGGGAAGTGTGCAGGGGGACCACTGTCACGCTGCTTGGCACATGGTGGGGTGTCGTTTCTTTTGCAGCCCCAAACTTGGCCCAGTTGGAGGACTGGCTCAGAGAGGCTGAGGCTGTTATGTCCGCCTACCGGCCAGCTCTCTGGCCTCCTACCCTGACCTCCTGGGCCTCCCCCACCAGCGGGTCAGCCGCGTCCCAGGGACCACGCCTCACGCTGGACCTGCCTGGAGACCCCGCTCACTCCTGGTGGCCCCGGCTGCTTGGGTGGATGCCAGTGCCCTCAGGGGCTGGGACCTGCACTGCTCCCCAGATGGCCTGCTCTTCCTGACGGCTGGGACTGCACCCTGCATCCACGTGCTGGACCTCTAGGGACGCTCCATCTGCCACCTGCCCTGCCTTGTGCCAGGGGCCAGGGCCTTCGTGACGGAGGACGTGGCTGTGACAGCTGCTGGGCTCGTGGTGATCAGTGACCTGGTCCACAGGGCTGTCCGTGTGCTGCAGCACACCGTCCGAGCCCCTCAAGGCCGCTGGGTGACAGTGGGCACCTTCTTGGTCCCCAGGGGGCTAGCTGTGGACCCCCTTGACCCCCTCTTGGTGACAGACTACGTGCCCGGGGCTGTGCACAGCTTCACACTGGGCCCTGCCTTGGAGCCACTGGCCCCCGCCTCCATGCTGGGCCCGGAGGGCCCCTGCTGGGTGGGCCTGGGGCCCGATGGGGGCCTGGCTGTGAGTGAGGAGTTCAGGGACGTGTGGCTGTTTGGCAGTGCCCGCCAGCCCCCGTGCTCCCTGGGGGACCTGACTGGGCACCACTTTGGCAGCCCAGCAGACGTGTGCACCGACACAGCGGGCAGTGTCATTGTGGCGGACGAGCAGCGGCACCAGGTGACCCTGTTCCCCTGGGCCAGGGCGCCCATCTGCCTGGTGTCCGAGGGGCTGAGGTGGCCCCTGGGTGTGGCCTGTGCGCCCCAGGGCCAGCTCATGGTGGCGGATGCAGAGAACGGCTACATCAAAGTGTACCAGTCCTACTTGGAATTGGCCTGATCCGGTGGGCTTGAACGGGAGCAGCCCCTCACTGTGCATGGGTCCAGCCCCCGGAGTTTGGACCACGACAGGAGGAATGTTCAGGGTTTGCAGGGTCCTCCAGGGCTGTTGGCCATGCCTTCCTGACCTTGTACATTTGCTGACACTCCTGAGCACTGCTGTCGGGCCCGGGCCTGGCCTCCTGTCTTCCTCCTGGAGAGGATTCAGACTTGGTCCACAGCCTGGATCAGCTGCCTCCCAGCCTCCAAGGCCCAAGAGGCCTGCGCTTTGGGGCTGGCAGCTGAAGCCTGGAGATCTTCAGCGTGTCGGGCCAGCTACCAGCACTTACCCAGGCAGGATCTCCCACCAGGTGCCGCAGCCCCAGCCTCCTAATCAGACAGAGGCAGGCAGGGAGGGTGTGGCTGGGCAGGCAGGGCCGGGCTGGGCTGGGCTGGGCAGCCTGGGCAGGGGCGCGGCCCTGCACTGTCCATCATTTTCAGAGGTGCCCCAGGTGCCAAGCCTCCTGAAGCTTCTCTGGGCCCAGCTGAGGTAAGGGGGGAGCAGAGGAGGGGCCCCCCCAGAGGTGCCCTGGGGTGACACATGGCTGAGTTGGAAGCCTCCATGCTCCTGGTCCACTTCTCCCATGTGACACTGTCTGAGCCTTCATTTTCTCCACTGCAAATGAGGATCAAACAGCTCCAAGCTCATGGGTGGGGTTGCTGGGAGAGTTCCGGGCAGTGGTCAAGTGCAGAAGAGCCTTCCTGTGAGGACAGACTCCTGCTGTTAAAAATAGCAGGAAAATGAGGCCGGAAGGGGTAGGGGGTGTGTGGGGTTACTCTGAGTCAGGAGCCCAGCCAGGCTCCTAGTTCCAGTGGGTGGTCTTCAGGGGAAAGGGCCAGTGCCTAGTCCTGCCCCTGGGGGCTGGTGAGGGGATGGTCTCAGGGGTCTGTGGTTTAGGCCATTGCCTGACAAGGTCCCCTCCATATTTCCCAGCCCCTGCAAAGGTGGGGCAGTATTAAGTGGGTCAGTGTAAGGAAGTGTGTGGGGCAGGTGCTCTGTAAACTTTAGTAGTTGCTGCTGGTGCTAGGGGTATTGTCCCCTGGAACAGGAGGGGCCAGGGACGCCTCATGACCATCAGATCAGATGGCTTCAGACCCTGGGCTGGCCCTCCAACCTTCGTAGCTCACTTGGCCTCTACAGGGACTAGGGTGCAAAGGGGCCAGTCTGGGGCTGGGGTGGCAGCTTCTTCTGGGACCCCACCCAGGGCCTGGGGATCCTTTCACCCTGGGATGGTGGAGACAAGGTGAAGTCTGGGACCCTCAAATGTCAGGTCTACTGGATCCCTTAGATGAAGAAACCAGGCATGGGGGAGGTTTGGTGGCTGTGGGAAGGTGGGGAACTGGAAGGCAGGGGTGTTGGGGACACTGTGGGTAGACTGGAGGGGGAACAAAGATGCTGCGAAGGGGACAAGGACATGGGGGACAAGGACGTTGTGCACAGGGCATGGGGAGGACAAGGACGCAGGAGAGACAAGGGCGCTGCGCGCACGGGCCACCGGCTCCGGCGACCGGAACGTTGCGTGCACGGAACGCTCGGGCGAGGGCCGGGGGGGCAGCCCGGGTGCCTTTGGGGCCGGACCGTCGCGCGGCAACGCCGGGAGCGGACGGAAATGGGGCTCGTGTCCCGCGGCGCCGCCGAGGCGGGGCGGGGGGCGGCGAGTGCTGTTGACCGCCCGGGCCCGCCCGACGCGGTCCCCAACCCCACCCCGACCCCGCCAGCTGAGGGCGCGGACCCGGGGAGCAGCCGGTGAGCAATCGGGGGGCGGGCCGGCGTCCTTGCGGCGCGACCTTGGGGAGCCGCCCCCGCCGGGCTGTGGGCCCCGACTCTTGCCGCGGCGGCCGCGGAAGCAGGGCCGGGAGCCCGAGGGTCTCCGGAGCCTCCTCCCGGAGACGGCGCAGGCCTTTTGCCTCTCGGAGCCTCTATTTCCTCATCTGTAAAATGGGGACGCCGCCGGCCGCCGGCCAGGGTGGGCCTGAGACTTGGGAGGGCAGTGAGGACCCGCCAGCCCCTGCAGGAGCCTGCCCTCCCAGCCCCACGGGCCGCGTGGATGCCCTGGCGGGGAGTCTGGACCCCCGCCCTGTGGGGTGAAGGGCGGCCGGCCGGTTCCCTCTGGCCCACCCCAACCCGGGTCCCTCTGTGGACCCTTTGGAAGGGCATTCATGGTCAATGGAACTGGCTGTCGGAGCTTTACAGTTGTTCCTGACTGCAGTACAGGGCAAAAACCAGAGCCCTAGATTCGTGGGGAAGAGCATTCTTTACTGAATGCCTGTTGTTTTTTAAACACAAACACATGGAGTAACAATGAATTCTTGTGAGCTACTGAGGAGCAGTGACCAGGAGGCTCTGCAGAGGACGGTTTTAGCCATTTAGATGTCCCTGGCCAGTCATAACTGGGCTTTTGCTCTGAATCAGTTCTTGTGGAGGATGACAGGATGTCCACTTCACAAGGTAGATGGTTGAGTTCAGGTTATGCGGGGAGGGTCGTTCTAGTGACTGCATGGCCTGACTGATCTGGAATGGGCTGGGTCACAGGGAACCAGGTGTCATTCATAACAGAGGCAGCTTTCCCAGGCCTGTGCCCTTGTTTTTATCACAGTCTTTAAAGATGCACATGGCTGCGTGTTACTGCCCCGCTTTCTCCCATCTGCACCTCTGCTATCGATTGCCTCCTCTTTCATCTTTTCCTGGCTGTCTGATCTGAGCAGACTTCTTTGTGTTGGTCACTCCCAGAGGCTGAGGTAGTGGTGGGGATGGGGACTTACCCCGTGATTTAAGAGTTCTCTCTCACTACCCCACAGATGGGAACACCAACCTCTGCCCTCCGCTCTTCCCCAGACATGAGGAGCTTTTTTTTTCTTTAAGGTAAACTTTGTAGATGAAGCATAAAACACACAAAGAAAGTGCACAGATCGTATGTGTACAGCTCAGTGAATTTTCTGAAAGTGAACCCACCGTGTAACCAGCTTCGCCCAGAGCATCTGCTCACTGTTAGGCCAGTTGTATTTATTTTCTGACAGTAGCTCTGGGCAGTTTTCCTTAGCTCCTGTGAAAGAAGTCCCTGAGCAGGGTGTGATTGTGTCATTTGGCTGAGCTGGTGGGTGCTGACAGGCTGGTGCTGAGAGGCTTGGACCATGATGGCTGGTCCCCTATGGTGGTCACCAAGCGAGATGTACTGGGATCCTCACAGGCAGAATTGCTCTGTGTCTCTGACGATGCCCGTGCAGAAGTGTCAGGAAGACAAGGTGGTCCTTGATGCCCTTGCTGATGGCCACAGGAACTTAGCCCCGGGGCTGCCTTTGGGCTCCAGGCTTTCCCCTGCTGACACCCATGTTGCCTGCCCTTTCTGGTCTCTGGGGGAGAGGGGTATTTGGGAGTCCAGCTACTGCTGGACTCAGAGGGATGCTTTTCAGTCAAAACCCACAGGTGGGAGAAGCCTCGCCCCTCCAGCCCCACTCTGGACTGCAGGGGAGGAAAGCGGCTTCACCAGTTGCCTTTTTTTTTTTTTTTTTAATTTATTTATTTTTTGGCTACATTGGGTCTTCGTTGCTGTGGGTGGACTTTCTCTAGTTGCAGCGAGTGGGGCTACTCTTCATTGCGGTGTGTGGGCTTCTCATTGCGGTGGCGTCTCTTGTTGCAGAGCATGGGCTCTAGGCGCGCGGGCTTCAGTAGTTGTGACACACGGGCCTAGTTGCTCCGCAGCATGTGGGATCTTCCCAGACCAGGGCTCGAACCCGTGTCCCCTGCATTGGCAGACGGATTCTTAACCACTGTGCCACCATGGAAGTCCTACCAGTTGCCTCTTAAGCCCTGGGCATTTGAGGCTCCTCCCACAGCCCCCCTGACCCTCAGGAAAGGGCTCCCTCAATGTCGCACCTCCCCAACATGTGTGTCCCTCTCTCTCCCCCTCTCTCCGAGGGCCTGTTGAGCACTGGGTCCTGGAGGACCAGGCTCAGTCTGAGGCCTGTGTCCCTCCCTCAGGTGTATCTCCAACTTGGGGGTCTTAGCTCAGGGCAGCTTCTCTGCCCTTTGTGCTGACACAGTGGGGTCGTTAGTGTCTAGGAAAGGGCGAGCTCCAAGGTGAACCCTCACCAAGGTGAACCTCCTCCCCGTCAGGCCCTGTCTAGGAGGGCTCAGGTGGGAAATGAGTTGCTTACTGAGAATCCGCATCCGCAGTGAGCTGACTCCTGTGCAAGGCAGGGCTCACAGTCCCACAGGATTCAGGAATTGCAGCTGCTTGGGGATGTTATTGCTGCTCAGAGGTCCTGGGAAGGCTGGTGTCCCCTCAGCCATTCTCCAGGGCTGGAGAACTTCTCCCACCCCCATTTCTAGAACACTGCCTGGTTGCGGGAATAGGTAGTCCTGAAGGAGGTGCTCAGCTGTGACAAGAGGATGGGGCTCCCAGGGAGGGATGGGCACAGCCGCAGGCTGGAGGGTTGGGATAGAAGCAGAAGCCCCATGGAGCTGAACCTGTTCCCTGAGCACCAAGGCTCCCCCAGGGGGCTCACTGGGAAGGGAGGTGGGCTTTGGCACCAGGCATGTCCCCAGGCATCTTCTGGGGCACCTGTACCAATGCCCACAGCTGCCAGCGGTGTGGACGCATCTGATTTCCCTCAGCTCAGCGGCAATTTGTTTAAATGTTCATCTTTATTCTTGCTAGCTTAGTAAGTAAATCAAGGTTTGTTAGATTTTTAATTTAAATTACTTTAATTGTTAATGAGATTGTAGATTTTTCCATGTGCTACACATCAAAAACTAATCAGTTCCCTAAAAACAAAAATTAAACCCTTGTGCTCACCCCGGCACAGCCTGTGAGTGGTGCTGAGCAGGTCATGTGACCTCACCTGTATCAGCCTGCCTGTGTCTGGAGTGGGGAAGCGTTGCCCTGCCTCAGGGTAGGAATGGGAGTGGCCTGGGCCTGTACTCACAGCAGCCAGGGGCAGAGATGGGTAGCTGGGCCCCCCTGCCAGCCTCGTGACCAGACCGAAAGCTGGGTCGCCCCCACCTATGGGCCCAGTGGCCACGTGGATGTGTCTGTCAGGGCCACCTGTTGGCCAGGACCTGCAGCCCTGGCACGGCCAGCCACCCCGGGTCCTCGGGGCACAGTGGCACCGGCAGCAGCTCTGAGCTGAGCCCCTCCTCTCTTCCAGCAGCCCCGGCATGGTGCTCAAGGCCTTCTTCCCCACATGCTGTGCCTCGGCAGACAGCGGTCTCCTGGTTGGACGGTGGGTCCCGGAGCAGAGCAGTGCCGTGGTCCTGGCTGTGGTGCACTTTCCCTTCATCCCCATCCAGGTCAAGGAGCTCCTGGCCCAGGTGCAGCAGGCCAGTCAGGTGGGCGTGACTGTGCTGGGCACCTGGTGCCACCGCCGGCAAGAGCCGGAGGAGAGCCTGGGCCACTTCCTGGAGGGCCTGGGCGCCATTTTCTCCCACAGGCCCTGGTTCCAGCTATGCCGGGAGAGAGGCAGCAAGTCCTGGAGCTGCAAGGCCACCCACTGGCAGGGGCCCGCCTCCCCTGCCGCCTCCGGCGAGGACCAGGTCATGCTTATTTTCTACGACCAGCGCAAGGTGCTGCTGTCCCAACTGCACCCGCCCACGGCCCTGCCCGACCGCCAGGCTGGGGACACCACAGCCAGCGCGGGGGGCCTGGCTGCTGTCTTTGACACAGTGGCGCGTAGCGAGGCACTCTTCCAAAGTGACCGGTTCGATGAGGGCCCCGTGCGGCTGAGCCACTGGCAGTCGGAGGGCATGGAGGCTAGCATCCTCGTGGAGCTGGCCAAGTGGGCAGCAGGGCCTGTCTGCCTGTTTCTGGCCTGCCTGCTGTCTCTCATCTCGGCTGCCAGCGCCTGTCGGTAGGTGCCCCTTGGCCAGGCGAGGGAGAGTTGGGCCCCTGAGGCCTAGGCCCACCCCTTGGTGTGCAGGGATCATGGAGGCTCAGATGGCCCTTCTGAAGCTTACCGCTGCCCCCTGCACCCCTGCTCTCATCCCACGCTCCCTCCGCACTGTAGCTCAGAGGACACCCTAGTGGTGGTTTCTGTTCTGGTGTCCCTCGCTCCTGTGGCAAAGCTAGGCTTCCTGGAAGCCCCTGTGGTTGCGTGGGACACACTGAGTAGGGATACGTGGTGACCCTCAGACAGCTCAGGTCCCTGAAAGGAGAATTAGATGATGAACAGACCGGGTTGTTGCCGCGCAGGGGCCACTGTTTTCCTTGCTGGCGAGTTGCTTGTCCTGCAGACCCACAGGCCCACCTGCTTCCCTGGCCCCGACCTCGCAGGAGAGGCAGCCCTGGGAGGCTGTGGGACAGCATCCACTTGCTGTCTGTGGGGCTGGGGGCGTGGTCCCCAGCCTGGGCCGCTCTCTAGAATTACCGGAACACTCCTGGCTGCGGGCCTGGTCGAGGGATTTGTAAAAGCCCCTGGGGGCCCTGAGGATGCTGGGGCAGCACGTGGGTGTTCTGGCGAGTTAGCCACAGGACCCTCTGTCTGTGAGAAGCCACCTCCCTGGTGGCACCACCTGGTATGGGACAACTGTGCTGCATCCTGAGGTCCAGGGTTTCGGCTGTCAGGTTTGGGGACTGGCCTCGCCGGCTCACCAGGGGCTCTGGGAGCGCTTGGGCCTGTCGCTGCAGAGAGACCCCAGCAGCTATGTGCGCACACCACCTTGGGCTGTGGGGGCTGCTGGGTATCCTGTCCTGAGCGGTGGGTTTCAGAGCTTCACAGCCCCTTGGAATGAATCGTGTGAAAGTGTGTCTGGGCCTGGGTGCAACTTTGGGAAGAGAAATTCCTTTTGTCAGCTCTCAAAGAAAGCAAGAAAGGTTATGAACCGCTTGAGTGCCCCGAATCCCGATCTGCCCCTTAGGTAGGCAGGTGCTGGCTGTTGGCGGAGGTCAGGAGCCCTGTGACGTCCATGTGGGGCATGGCTGTTGCTGCCCAGGGCAGGTGCAGTTGCTGCCCAGGGCTGGTCTGAACCTCGGGGAGACCCTGCATGGGGGTCTCTGCAGCCCATGCGAGGCTGCCTTCCACTGGACTGGAATGGGGGGTGCAGTGCAGACCACACTTCACTCTTGGAATTGGGTCAGAGTGGCTTGGCTGAGGACAGAAGCTTCAAACCTTCAAGGTCAAGACCTCCTTCCTCCCGAGGGCCTGAGCGTGATCACCTGGCGGCTCTGCACTTTGCACGAGCCCTTTAGGTCCCTCCTGCTGGCAGTGGGGCTCTGGGTGGGAGCCAGGCTCTGAGTTGCCATTGGGCGCTTTCTCCACCTTTGCTTGAGAACATCTCCCCTCAATGCCTTCATGTCTGTGAAGTGTCTGGTTCTTTCTTTGCTGCGTGAGAGATCATTCTCGTTGAGCAGTCAGGTCAGCTGAAACCCTTGACACGGACACCCGTCCGGCAGGCACTCAGCTTCAGTGCCTGGAGTCAGCACCTTGCGTTCCCAGTTGATGGTCGTGAGTGACCGCAACCCCCGCTGGGCTGCCCACCTGGGTCCTCCCCCCGTGTCCCCGCCCCGCTGAGTTCAGGAGTGTGGCTACTGGTATTTGGGGAGACCAGGGCCCTTCCTCTCTGCACGTTGAGGGATATCGGCCACGGCTGAGACGGCCCTCCCTCCCTGGTGGGCAGAAGAACCCCAGAGACCCGGAGGTCCATCCTTCTCCCCTCCTCCGCAGGGTGTTCAAGCTGTGGCCACTGTCCTTCATCTGGAGCAAACTCTCCACGTGCGAGCAGCTCAGGCACCGGCTGGAGCAGCTCACACTCATCTTCAGCACCCGGAAGGCTGAGAGCCCCGCACAGCTGATGAGGTGCGGGTCCTGCCCTGGTCTCCTCCCCAGACGCGCCACGGGCCCAGCCCCTTCCCCACAGCAGGCCTGCCCAAGCTGACCCTTTCTGGCCACGCCACCCTCACCACTCGCTCCCGTTGGACCCCTCCTTCCAGGAAGGCCAACATGCTTGTCTCTGTGCTCTTGGATGTGGCCCTTGGCCTCATGCTGCTGTCCTGGCTCCACAGGAAGGACCTCATCGGGCAGCTGGCTGATGCCCTCATCCCTGTGGCTGACGTGAGTTGGTTGAGGTGTACTTGAACACCTGTTTCCCAGGGTTGGGGGGCAGGACCCCTCCTGGGGGCAGCAGAGGCCCCTCAGCCAGCCAGAGCAGCTCACCCCTGACCCCAGACAAGTCCCGTAGGAGCTGCTGTGTCTTACAGAATAGGTGGGGCTGTGTAGACCTGGGCCCTCCAGCTCCTGGCCTCTTCCTGCAGGTGGCTTGTCTGGAGCCCCCTTGTGTTGGAGACTTTTAGGGGGAGCCACCTCCCTGCCAGGCTCAGTGTCATGGCATCCCCATTGCCTCCCCACCGTGCATGACCATTTCTGCTCTCCTGGTTCTTCGGGGTGGCTCACTTTCGGCCTGGGCGCTCTGCACAGTCAGCATCACAGAGACCTTGTGTGCGTGCCGGTGTCTGTGTGGTCCAGCTCAGCCTCCCACCCTGATGCCTGCACCAGTTCTGCATCTCCCATGCTGACAGCCAGAGGCACCAGCTCATCGGCTGTGCTCCTGAACTTGCCCTGCACAGTCTGTGCGCCGTTCCCAGGGCCTGGGCACCGCCCCAGCCTCCTCTCCCTTCCACAGTCATCCTCCCACTGTCTGTCCGTGCTGGCTCTGAGCCTTCATCTTCTTTGCCTCCTTCAGAGGCCCTGTCACTTCTATTGGGAGATTGTCTTCTTGCCTAGGGCAGCCCTTCTGGTCCCTCAGTGCCCCACCCCCCCGCGCCCTCTGCCCAGGCCTCTGTGGGGCTCCTGGCCCTGGCTGTGGTAGAGCCGCTGCGGCCTGGCTGCGAGGTCCTTGTGGGCTCAGCTGCTGCCTGCTGTCATCAGCGTCCAGGCACACGTGTGCACTGGGCCTGCTTGTGGCCAGGCCAGGACCCTGCAGGCAGGAGCCCCTACAGGCCAAGAGTCCCATAGCTTCTCAGGGAAGCCTGGCCCAGGAGGGAGGAGGGTGCTCTGCCTTTTGGCCAGCTTCACCCTAGGCCTCCCTTTTGCAAAATTGCTCAGAAATATAAATATTTAATTTAAAAATGAAAGCCTCTTCCTGCCGCCAAGCTCTTATCCTTTAAATATTAAATAAGGTCTATTTATAAAGAACATTCTGTTCCCCTTCTCACTGCTCCTGACACGGCAGAGGCCTTCACCCAGGGTTGGGAAAGGCCCGCATTGGTACGTGGGAGGGAGGTGGCAGACTTTGGGGCAGGGATGTCGGTCCTGTGGCCTCAGTGTTGGTGATGAGACCAGGAGTCCTGCAGGCCTGCCTCCCAGGGCTGGCACAGCTTTCCTCCTGGGGCGGCCAGGACAGTAGTTGGCCTCCCTGCTTGCTTGTGAGGGTCCCTGTGCTATCTCTGGTCCTCACTTGACATGGTTCTTCCCTCTGTGGGACCCTCCAGCACCCACCTCCGCCCCGCCCGCCTGCTACGGGGGCCCCTGATGGGCTTGACCCCCTCACTCTCACTCAGGGTCACCCAGATGGGTAACTGGGGTGGGGCAAGTTGATGGACGGTGTGGCCCTCATGTGTCCTCGCAGCGCGTGGCCGAGGAGCTCCAGCATCTGCTACAGTGGCTGATGGGTGCACCTGCTGGGCTCAAGATGAACCGGGCGCTGGACCAGGTGCTGGGCCGCTTCTTCCTGTACCACATCCACCTGTGGATCAGTGAGTGCCAGCGGTCAGGAGGGCCGCCTCGGGGTTTCACCCAGCCACTGACCCGCACTTTGGCTCCTGAAGCCCGTGCCCCCAGGGACATAGACCCTGGCTGAGGGGGGGCAGTGGGGCCCAGCCAGGCCCTGTCCCCTTGGCCTCTGCTTCCTGTTGACCCAGCATCCCGTGTGTGGAGCCTTGCTATGCTGTGCTGGCCACTCACAGTTTCCAGAAGCTTGGGGCAGCCATCCTCATGATGGACTTGGGGGGGACCAGGACCTCCCTGGGCTCCCCCCTCAAGGCTGACCCCCATCCTACCAGGCTACATCCACCTCATGTCACCCTTCATTGAGCGCATCCTGTGGCACGTGGGCCTCTCAGCCTGCCTGGGCCTGACGGTCGCCCTGTCCATCCTCTCAGACATCATAGCCCTCCTCACCTTCCACATCTACTGCTTCTATGTCTATGGCGCCAGGTGGGTGTGCACCCCCCCCCACTCCTGCGGGCTGACCCAGTGCAGCCCCCCGAGCCCTGGGCACCACAGACAGGCTTCCGGGACCGGGTGGGCATGGGGTCACCAGCCCAGCTCTGATGGTACCACGTCCTGCAGGCTATACTGCCTGAAGATCCATGGCCTGTCCTCACTCTGGCGCCTGTTCCGAGGGAAGAAGTGGAATGTTCTGCGCCAGCGCGTGGACTCCTGCTCCTATGACCTGGACCAGGTACCGGCTCCAGCTCCAGTCCAGCTGCCCCTTCCGATGGGCTGGTGCAACTGCTCAGGCACCACAAGGGGCAGCCTCACTCCTGTTTTGCAGGGCTCCGGGGTGTATGGGGAGCTGCAAGGGGTAGGGTGTATGCAGGACCTCAGACAGGGCAGAACCTTGCCCATGTGGGGATGGACCCTGCTCTCAGGAGGCCGCGGGGCTGCAGGTGCTTAAGGTGACCTCGCCCAGGGCTTGGCTCTGGCTAGTCCCATTCGCTTGCTCAGACCTGACACAGGGACCCTGAGTGCTGCCTTCCAGGACACGTTTTTTGCTGCCTAATTTTCACCACCCTCCTGTCTTTAGTGTACGGGCTGTATACCCTGTCAGCTGGTCTCCCCAACCCCTGTCACCCCATGTGTCACCGGGTCTGGAGGCAGGTGTCCCTCCCAGTACTGGAGAGAGCTGTCCTGAGTGGGCTTCCCGAAGTGGTCTCAGGAAGCTGGCAGGCGTTCCATCTCTGCTCAATTACAGGATGGATTTAGTGGGATGGGTATCGGGTGTGCCCAGTGCTGGCAGGGCTGTCGCCGATGCTGGCATCCTTTCTCCCTGTAGCTGTTCATCGGGACCTTGCTGTTCACCATCCTGGTCTTCCTTCTGCCCACCACGGCCCTGTACTACTTGGTGTTCACCCTGGTGAGCCAAGTGCTGTGTACCATGGGGGTGCTGGGCGTGTCACCTGGCCAGTGGACCTAGCCCACGGTGCTTGGAGTGGTGACTGCTAGCAGCTGTGGGCAGGTCGTCCATCCCTGCCGGCCACATGGGGTGTGGCTGTTCTGGACTCTGGGCAGTGTGTGCTGGCCCTGGAACAGGCAGGGGTCCCACCCGCGGGGGACACCACCCACTACTGCTCTGGGACACGCAGTTGGGTTCACAGAGGGCAGGGGTCTCCCATGTTATGGGGAGGCGAGCACAGACAGCAGGAGGGGAGTGGCCCCCGGGTGGCTGGGCTGAGGGCCCAGTGGCATGTTTCCCTGGGTTGGAGCACCACCTCCTCTGACCTGGCAGCAGGGCAGACCGCTCTAGCCTGTGGCTTCCCTGCCTTCCTGTGCTCAGGCCTCAGGTTCAGGGCGGGGTCCCTGCCCTCCTCTTGGGACCCGTCAGGCTGTTCTGCTCAGGGGCATGCATTGTGGCTGTGGCCACAGTCCCAGGTCAGAGACCCTGAGCACTGTCTGTGATGCAGCTCCGGCTCCTGGTGGTCGCTGTACAGGGCCTGATCCATCTGCTTGTGGACCTCATCAACTCCCTGCCACTGTACTCACTCGGCCTCCGGCTCTGCCGGCCCTACAGGCTCGCAGGTAGGTCTGCGTGCTGGCTAGGCGGCGCACCTGCGGGCCCTGGATGCAGCCGTGTGTGGGGCGGGCAGGGAGGACAAGAACCTGGTCCCGGGGCCTGAGCTGGAGGGAGAGGCTCCCTGCCCTCAGGTTCAGAGGCCACATAGGCAGCCCTCCGCCTCCTCAGCCTCCCCTGTGATGAGTGTGGACGTTTGCTCTGAGGTCTGTCTGCAGTAGTCCTGTAGGTGGTGCCTGAAAGTGGCTCAGAAAAGACGTGTCTCGTGTGGTTGTGTGGAGCTGTGTGTGCCTGCTGGTGCCTCTCCTCCTGGAGGGGACCGGCCAGGGTGGAGGATGCCAGGCTGGCCAGAGCTGTGTGACAGGCGTGCCTCCCGCCCCGCCCCCAGCAGGCCACCACCTGCGGGGACAACACGCACCAGCTCAGCTGCTCCTGTCATCCCCTCTGCAGGCGATGCCCCTGTTTGCATGCTGACACCAGCCACGGGTTGGCCAGATGCCCCTGACAGGAGGCTGTCCCCACTGCAGGCCTAGGGAGGCCCGGCCCAACTGGTCACTGAGTTGTGGGTTGGCTCATCCGGTTCAGGGGCTTTGAACATAACAGGAAACTTGAGGAGTTGCTGGCACGGCCCCGGAGCTGACCAGCATGCCCAGGAGGCCCTGGACTAGTTTGCAAACGGCAGCTCGGCCGCACGCCAGAGTTCACGGCTGCTGCTCCCAGCCAGTTCCGAGTCAGAAGACATGAATGTGCATGTTCCCTGGGCTTTGGGCCTTGAGTCTGCCCGCTGGATGTCCTCAAACCCTCTTTCCAAGCCACGTTCTCCACAGACCCCCAGGTGGCCCAGGCCAGGGGCCCGTGTGTAGTGCTGCCCATGCTCCCTGGTCCCCCAGCCCCCACCCACACTTCAGCACGCCTGGAAGCAGGCAGGTGGAGAGCCTGGACCCGGCACCTTCCTCTCCCAGCCCTCAGCTCACAGCTAGAGCAGAGTCCTTTTAACTTGACATAAAAGGCCACAGATGCCGCCTCTTCTCTCCACCGAGTTTGCCTTGGGGCCTCTTCATCAATTGATAATTAGCTCCTGTTTCTCCTTTCAAGAACCTTCCGCCTTGGGAATCCCCAGGCTTGAGAGCCCACACTGCAGGCCAGAGTGTGGTGGGTCCCTGAGTCAGCCGTGCGCACAGCAGTTGGAAGGCACTGAGATGCCAGCAGAGTGCCTACCACCCAGCAAGTGCCTCATCCACTCTGGGAAAACCCCCGTCCTACTCAGAAAGCAGCACAACCTGCCCGCTTTTCCCCGCCTGCTAGACCCACGGCTTTGGTCTCTCAGTGCAGTTCTGCAGGAGGCCCTGACGAGGGCCAGGCTGCAGCTCAAGGAGGCAGATGGGAAGGACGGGCTGGAGAGGCGAGCTGCTGCCCGGGCAGCCTGTAGCCCTCGGAATGCCGCTCGGAGCAGGAGCGCTGGTGGGGGCGGCCTGCAGGGCCCTGGGAGCCCTGGAAGGCCACCCTCCCTCACGGGGACCTTGCTCTCCTTACAGCCGGGGTGAAGTTCCGAGTCTTGGAGCACGAGACTGGCAGGCCCCTCCGCCTCCTGATGCAGGTAAGGCCTCCACACAGCCCTCATGCTGTTGCCCGCCATGAGGCCGCCCATGTTCTGAGGCATGTTCTGTGCCGCCCTGGGTGTGGGCCTCACAGGCCTGGGTGAGGTGCAGGCAGGAGGGCCCAGCAGAGCTGAGGGGTGGGGCCCGGGGGAGGCTCGCCCACCCCCAAGGCCTCTGGGCACCATCAACCTCTGTGCCTGGAACCTCCCCCAGCAGGGCCCATGTATGGGGTCCCGTATGCTGTGCCAGACACCCTTAGCCACCCAGGGCACCTGCCTGCTGGGCCTGCATCCCTGTCTCCTGCCCTGGGCCCCTGGGCTCTCCTTCCAGGCAGAATAGCAGAGACTTGGCAAAGGCCTCAGGACACACCTGAGGCCTACTCTGTTGAGCTCCTTAAGCAGTCTGGGGCCTGTCTTGCGGGAGGGAGCAGGCCAGGTGCCGGTGTTGCTGGATGCAGGTGTCCGGTTGGCCTGAGGGGAGAAGTCAGATGCTGAGGCAGCCGGTCCCTGTGTGGTTTTCTCGGGAGTGTCCTGAGTCCCACTTGAGGAGGCTCCAGGGAGCTGAGTGAGTCCTGGAATGGAGGGGTCGGTGCCCCGCAGCCGGGCCAGAGCGGAGCCCGCCTGACTGTGGCCCAAGCCTGCCTCCCAAGCTGCTCACCCTGACCCCCGTGTACCCCAGGTGAGAGCGCATCTGGCACAGAGCTGGCCCTGCCCCATGGTTGTCCAGCCCAGGGACCCCCCACGCAGGCCTGCCGGTCCTAGAGAGCTGGACTCCCAGGGAGTTGGGGGCTGTGTCCCGCTGACCGCTGCCCTTGTGCTTCCAGATAAACCCCCTGCCCTACAGTCGCGTGGTGCACACCTACCGCCTCCCCACCTGTGGTTGCCACCCCAAGCACTCCTGGGGTTCCCTGTGCCGCAAGCTGTTCTTCGGGGAGCTCATCTACCCCTGGAGGCAGAGAGGGAACAAGCAGGACTGAGGGGCCCTGGCCACCAGCTGGCCCAGCACCACCTCCTGCCAGGGTGTCAGGGTAGCACATGGTCCTGCTCTTTGCCTTCCTGCCCCTGGTTGCCTGGGGCCTCTGCAGGCCCTGCCGGGGCCCTGCCTGCCACATCTCCTCCTGACTCTGAGGTCGTGGGAGTAGTGAGCAGGAGGATGCGGGAACGGCCAGCCAGGCCAGCGGCCGACGCTCCAGCACCAGCACATTTGCCTCGGGAACCCCCTGCTGACCTGTTGTGATGGCACGGTTAACCTGGTGCGCACCGGCCCCCCAGGCCTATCCAGGAGCCCCGTCCTGCCCCCCACCCCAGTCTATACCCAGGCCCTAGGAGGGGGTGCAGAGCCCTGCCTCTGCCCACCATGCCCGTTCCCAGTGGGGTGGGCTGGCAGGTCTTTCTGGCTGCTCATTGGCGCCCCATCCTGTCATGAGGTGGAGGGGATCCTTCCCAGGGTGCACTCAAGTGTCCTTGAGACTCTGGCCCCCCAAGCATCTCCTTCTCTGGGGGATGCCCTCCTGGGTCCCCAGTGCCTTCCAGCTGTCTCAGTGGAGCCACCGCCAGCCAGTCTGGGGGATCCAAGCCACTGCTGACCCCCAGCGCAGTCCAGCAGCTCCAGGAACCTGGGCAGCAGCGCCCCTCACGCCCTGATTCGCACAGGGCTTACTTGTTGATGCTCCTGGAGAGACTGCTCTGCAGGAGAAGCTGCCCTCAGGGCTTTGGGTGTCCCTGTGTGAAGCCAGGCCACATGGGGTGCCTGGAGCTGTCAGCAAAGACCCACGCACCCGGCTGCCCCGTTCCTGCCCTGTACCCCTGCAAATCTTCCATCTCGCTCACTGGCTTCTCTTGGGCAGATGCTCCTGCAGCCCCCAGGGAGGGGTCCTAGCACTCAGGCTGCATCTCCCTGCTGGCCACAGGCAGAATCTGAGTGTGGGTGTGAGCCCCAGAATCCCCAGGGGGAGGAAGCCTCAAGATGCGGGTGGCATCACATACGGTGTGTCATCGTGGAGTTGGAGATGTTCATGCTGTAGGCAGCGGGGCAGCACTCTCTGTCCATCCCAGGCACTTGGGACTGTCCACTTCTGCCACCCACGCTCCTTGGCTGTGGACCACAGTGGGAGGGGGCCTGGAGGAGTCCCCACCAGCCCAGGGTCAGGCAGGAGGGGTACTGGCTCTGTCTTTTCTGCTGGGACAATAAAACCTCCCACGTATTTGGAGTGTGTGCTCTGCCCTCCCATCACCACGTGGGCAGTGGGTCTGGGGAGGCGCTCCTTCTCCTGGGGTGGCGGGACAGCTGGCCCCCACTTTTTGTCTTGAGATGATTACCATGCCTGTTTCCTGTTTGTTGCCAAGCTGCGGGGCACTGGGCTCCCTGTCCCCTAGAGCAGGCCTCTTTGCAGGTCTGGTGTGTGTGTACGTAGGCTCTGGCCTCTTGAAGATGTCCTCGTGTGGACGGACGGACCCAGGGCCACTTGCTTTCCAGTTTTGGCCTTGCCGTGGCATGAGGAGCTCCCAGGGCAGGGCTGGGGGCAGGGCTGCAGACCTCTCTGGGAGCCGGGGTGAGCTCTGATATATATATTTGTCACCACCTGAAACCTGTGGACTCCACACAGGAGGGGGCTCTCCCTGATGGACTCTGCCTGACCTGCAGCCTCCAGGGACCCTCAGGTGGCTTCCTCTGTGCCTGCTGTACTGGCTATGGAGGCAAGGGGGTTGGAGCGCAAAGAGGTCACTCAGCAACTGCCAGGCCTGCATCACCACTGAGGGTCAGCAGAGGGCCCCACATGGCTCCTGGTGGGCAGGACCACACCCCAGAGCCTGCTGAGAAGAGCCTCCATCACCTGCATTTCTGGGGCCACCTTCCCAGTCACTAGATGTCAAGACACAGAGATGGCCCATGGGGCCTGCCTCACCTCCCGCTGAATTCTCTCCCCTGCTCCGCCCAGCCTGCTGGGCAGTGGTGGCTGTGTTCCAGGCCTTTTCTGGCAGCTGTCACTCTCATGCCAGGTGCGGGGCTGCCTGCCCATCTCCCAAGGGCCAGCCCAGGCCTGGCACCAGAGCTGGCCGAGGGAACAGGGGTCACTCCAGCCACTAGCAGCCACCAAGACGTGCCACCTGCATGTCCTAGGCTGCTCCTATCCTGTGTGTCGTCCCTGGACCTGTACAGCCCTTGCCTAGGGACAGCCTTCATCTGTGGCCCCTCATCCTCAACCCAGGGCTCTGACCACTCCTGCCACGCTGACCTGGCAGAGCCTTGTCCTACAACTTCTCCGAGGCTGATCCTCAGGCTGCCCTGAAAAGTGGATGATTCCGCTTTCAGCTGGGGCCACCACCTCCCAGACAGGTCCTCATGGCCACCCACAGAGAAGGGCCCTGTGCTCTTCCAGTGTGGAGACAAGCTCAGAGAGGGGCGGTGAGCTGCCGAAGCAGGCGGTCTGAGCCACATAGTTCACTCCCGCCAGCTCCCTCCTGTCCTTGAAAACTTACTTTGATGTGATTTCAACTCAAAGAAACAGCTAGCACATCACAACCTTCAGCAGATTCCCTGGGGCTAATGTTCTGCCACAGCTGCTTTTTCGTGCTCGTGCTCTAACTTTTCTAAACCGTCTGATCATCAGTTGGCCCTAATTGTGCTCCCGAGATGCCCAGTGTATATCTTGTAAGGCCAAGGACTGACCTGTGTAACCAGGGCATGGCAAGGAGCATGGGTGGAGCCACCTTGCTTCCCATGCTCCTGGGCACCAGTCTCAAGAACCCTTTGCCCTCAGCCACCCCACAGCCCGTCTCTGCCTTTCCCAGCACTGGGGTCCTCAAAGATCCAGCCGGTCACTTGGTAGCCTGTCCCTATGTGGGGTTCGTCTGATGATTCTGAGATTCAGCTCCTGTGCTCTTAGTGGGAACATGTAAATGCCGCTGTGTCCTTCTCAGGCATTGCCTTGGGAGGAACACTGTGTCTGCCCAAACCAGTGACGTCAACCTGACCCACCAGGTTCTCTGCAAAGCTACTCTCCCTTTTACATAACAAGTGATTAGTACAGAGATATTTTCAACCATGTGGCCGTCCCGTCCCTCCTCCCCCTCTGGCCCACTAGCTGGCAGCGTCCACCATTGATTCTTGCCGGGTGCACACAGCTTTCCACGCCCTCTGCCTGTAGGACTTGAGTGGGGCCTCTCCTGGCAGCAGGCCTGGACTGGGGGTCAAGTAACTGACACTTGTGTGAGCGCTCCTAGGGCACCAGGGCCAAGGTCTGTTTGCCCCAATGGGTGGTCCCCAGGCCCTTCTGAGTGGACAGCTTTGGGTATCCTGGAGTGGGGGGAAGGAGACACCCCAGACCACTCGTTTGTTCCCTCCTGGACAGAGGCTGAGTCTGGAGGCCTGGCCCCCATCCTCTCTCGGAGACAGTGGGTGTGGGAACTGCAGGGGAGACTGTCAGGGCTCTTCACCAGACACCTCTGGGGTCTCCAGAGGGACCCAGAGTAACCCTCGACCACCCAACACCTGGGCGCCTCGCAGGGCTGACCCAGGACCTGCGAGCGGAGGGCTGTCCTGGGCTGCTTTGTCCTTGGCCTGAGGTTCCTCCAAGGTCCCCTGGGCCAGGCCTGGCACTTAGTGGGTCCCAGAGCGTCCTTGCAGAAGGGCATGCAGCTACGTTGGAGGCCAGCTCCTCCACCCACAGGGCCTCCTGGACAGCAGGGAATGGCACCCCTCCAGCCATCCTTCCCTTGACTGGGCCCCACTGCCCCAGACCCTGTGGGTTCCTGCGGTGCCTTTCTGCTCTGAGGTTGGGAAGTCGTAGGTCAGAGGGAACCGGAGCAGCACAGGAAACCAGTAAATCAGGAGGACAGGAAGCACCTGACAGGTTGCTGAGTCTTGCTCCCAGGATCAGACTCCGTGGACAGGTTCTAGGGATGGTCACGCCTGCTGCACAAGCTGTGCTGGGAAGGACCCAGCCGGCCTCACTTCGTCCCTGGTGATGGAGAACCAGGCGGCGGGGCCTACAGCTGCTGGAGCCCCTTCGGGGGAAGTCCTGATGTACAAAGGGTGCTTTTGGTTTAAATTCTCTGCAAAGTGGAATGATAATAGTTTCTCACCCCCCATCCCTTCTGGGCAGCCTCAGAAACCGAGGACATGTCAGCCCCACATGGCTTCCAGCCCCAGAGAGGGGCCTCAGTGACTTCAAAGCAGGGAGTAGGCAAAGCTAGGCTGAGGCAGGCTCCAGCTTGGGTGTAGTGACCTCTGCCAGAGAGGCTGCCTTGGCCGTGGTTGGGGGGTGGCAGGTGGTGGGGACTCAGCTCCCCGCCCCCACCAGCTGAAGGCTAACAAGACTCTGCCCACTGGCTGTCGTTGCTGTAAACACTGTGCTGTGGGTGCATGTGCCCTTTCTCTTTTTTTTTTTTTTTTAATAAATGTATTTATTTATTTTTGGCTGTGTTGGGTCTTCATTTCTGTGCGAGGGCTTTCTCTAGTTGCGGCAAGCGGGGGCCACTCTTCATTGCCCAGGCTCAGTAGTTGTGGCTCACGGGCCTAGTTGCTCCGCGGCATGTGGGATCTTCCCAGACCAGGACTCGAACCCGTGTCCCCTGCATTGGCAGGCAGATTCTCAACCACTGCGCCACCAGGGAAGCCCCATGTGCCCTTTCTGTACACGCTGGGGGCCATGTCTGCTGTAAGCCATCATCCAGGGTTTGGCCACTCTGTGGATTACGAATGAGCAGGTGGCCTTGCCCATCCCTGGCCAGCCTCTGCTCTTGAATGTCCCAGAGGGCCAGGAGGATACCAGGAGAGCCTCTCCCTGAAGGCAGGTGAGAAAGGCCCAGGTGCTTGCTGCCCACCCAACAGAGGGACCAGCTCCTCAGGAAGCCTCCCCGGGCACCCCACCAAAGTGAAACAGCAGAGTCCACATGGCTCACTGCCCAATGAGGGTTATCTGCAGCTTGTGGGGGGTGGTCACTCGGTGTTGTGCCCTGCCCATGCAGGGGTCTGCTCTCTATGAAGACCACCTGCTGCTGGAGACACAGCCCAGGCTCAGTGATCCCTTGGGAGGAGTTCTTGCTGCCCTGTTTCTCGCCTGCTGGACAGATGTGCCAGCCCAGCTGTCCTTGGTGCAGCCCTCGGGGCCTGGTCACTATGATGATGTGCCTGTTCTCTCTGCACAAATCTGCTTTTTAGGGAGCCCCAACCCACACGTGGCCTCTCCCTAGCACGCACCCTCAGTGCCTCGTCCAGCTGAGTCTAGTGGCTCAGCTTGGACAATGTATCCTTTTGATTGATTTATTATTTTTAACAGCTTCATTGAAGCATATTTTACATATTATAAAATTCATCCATTTCAAGTGTGCAATTCAAGGATTTTTAATAGCTTTACCAAGTAGTATAACCATCACCAATTTTAGAACATTTTCATCACCCCAAAGGGAAACAGGGTACCACTAAGCAGTTACTCACCATTTCCCCCTCCCCCAGGCGCTGGCAGCCACTAATCTACTTTCTGTGGATTTGCCTATTCTGGAAGTTTCACATAAATGAAATGTAGCAAGTATCAGCACTTTATTCCTTTTTATGGATGAAAATCCATTGTGTGGATAGGCCACATTTTGTTTATCCATTGATTTGTTGATGGATGTTTGGGTTGTTTCCACCTTTTGGCTATTGTGAGTAATGCTGCTGTGAATATTCATGCACAAGTTTTTGTGTAAATGTATATTGTCATTCCTCTAGGAGAGGAATTGCTGCATTGTATGGTACTTTTATGCTGAACTTTTTGACTTACTAGTTGTCAATTACATGTCATATGTGAATATGTTCTCGTGAAAATGTTATCAATGACGAGAACATCACTCTCCACCTCCAACCCCGAAGGAAACGATGCTGTCCATTTGGTGAGCATCATTCCAGGTTTTATCCTGTGCATACATTATATTTTGCTATATGTAAATCTAGAATGAAATGAATTAAGTTTTTAAAGCATAATCGTTGAAGTTACACTGAATATACTGTACTATCATTTGCTTACTTGTCTTCTCAGGTCAGCATTGCCTGCATCTTACCTTGTTCATCGAAGGGGCTGCGTGAACCTGGTTGATTTCATGGCACCCTAGCGGGGGCTCCAGATGGCTTCACTACTTTCACCATCACCACAGCGCTACAGTGAAATTCTTTGAGCTAATATCTGAGAATTTCTCCAGGCTCAATGTGATACGGAATTATTAGGCTGTTCAACCAACCTCCCAGAGAGCTGTTCCCCACATCCTGGCCCACATGCGACATTGCCAATCTAATATGAAAAGGGTATTACTTTGCTTCACTTTCCATCTTGCAGAGTAAAACTGTATCTTCGCACGGCTTCATACGCTTTTCATAACCCATCCATTCTGTAAACAACCCCAAAGTCACTTGCTCCTCGAGTGCCCCTGGTCAAGCCTCAGAGCCTCACGCCCTGACCCTCTTCCTGGGCCCTCCTGGGTCCCCCACTCGGCCTGACCCCGATTCTTCCCCGGGTAGGAAGCTCAGAGCCGGTGCTGCCGTCGTCTCTGGAGCTGGAGGACCACCAGCCCACTGACCCCGACGTTCCGCAGCGTTGGGCTTTCGGAGCCCCGCTGTCACCTGCAGGCCTCGCCCAAGGGAGGGGCAGACGAGGGGCCAGAGCAGAGCCGCCGAGCTGGGGACCCTACGCCCCCGCCAGCACACATGCGTCACCCCGCCGCCACCTGCGCCCCCCTCTCCGCGCCCGCCCCCACCTTACCCCACCGCCCCCACCTTACCCCACCGCCCCCACCTTACCCCACCGCCCCTCGGCCCCGCCCCCATGCGAGAACGGAAGTCCCGCCTCCTAGGCCACTCCGAGCGCCGATTGGCCGTCTTCATCCCGCCACGCCCTGCCACGCCCTCGCCGCGCCCCCGCCGCGGGACAGCGGCTTCCGAGAGCGCTGTTCTGGGTGGGCCCCGCTGTTCTCTCCGGGGTCTCTGTGGGAGCAGCAGCCACAGCTTTCTAGGGGGTTCAGTATTGCTGGACCCAGCCGCGTCACCTCAACTCGGGGACAGCCACCATCCTGCTCCGTCTGCGGAAGGAAGGGGGCGTATGCAAACAACCTGGAGTTCCAAGTTCCTGATTGGTGAGCGTCTCGGAAGGGAGCGGGAAGCTCGGGGTGAGCAGGGCGGGCTTAAAGGGCTGTGATCGACGTGCGGACGGTCCAGTGGCTCTGGGAAGATCGGCAGCGGTGGCCAATGGCGAAGGAGAGGGGGCGGGCGAGGGCCGTGAGGAGTTGCGGGGGCAGTGGGCAGGGTTGCTGGTGAGTCTGGGATGCTCTGCGGGAAGCGACGGGGGCGGTAGTGCTGTGACGGACGTGCAGGCGGACCACTGTTTCTGGGAAAGCGGGAGGCGAAGGGCCAATGGCGACGGCTGGAAGGAGGGGCGGGGCGACGATGGGACGGGGCAACCGGAGGCTTCTCTGAGCTGCGTGGGAAGCGGTGGGGGCGGGGTATCTGTGATGGACGTGCGCACGGGCCAATGGCCGCGGGAAGGGGGCAGTGGGTGACCTATGGCAACAGTGTGGTGGCGGGGCGGTGACGGGGCGGGGCGAGCGGAGGTCTCGCAGCGAAGTCTGGGAAGCGGGGAGGGGGCTGGGGCGCTAGTGGTGCTGACGGACGTGGGCAACGGCCAATGGTCGCGGGAAAGGAGGTGGCAGGCGGCCAATGGCGGCGTGCGGGGCGGGGCGGAGCGGCGGGTCTGCGCGGCGCTGTGCGGGAAGCGGCGGGGCGGCGGCGGCGGCGCTGAGGCTGAGTAAGAAGAGTCCAGGCGGGGGCGGTGGAACAGGTGCGGGCGGGGCGGCCTCGCCGTCCGCCGGCCCCGCTTACCCGCGTCGGCGCCCGCAGGTCGGTCGGAGGCCTCCGCCGCCGGGCTCCGCGGCGCAGTGGGCATGCGGGCGAGGCCCGCGCGCGCGTGAGCGACGATGGGGACGCAGGGCAGCCCGGTCAAGAGCTACGACTACCTGCTCAAGTTCCTGCTGGTGGGCGACAGCGACGTGGGCAAGGGTGAGATCCTGGAGAGCCTGCAGGACGGCGCGGCCGAGTCCCCGTACGCCTACAGTAATGGTAAGGCCGACCGGCGGGCCGCTGCGCGCACCTGGCGCCGCCCGGCGACCTGCCGTCCGCCTGGTCTCGAGCCGGGGCCGGGCGGGGGCCGGGGGAGCAGCGACCCGAGCTCGCCGAGGCCCTCTGGGGCCCGCAGCGTCTTTGGGGGCGGAGATTTGGCCGCGGGCCTCCAGAGGAAGAAGGGCTTTTCTTTGGTCGCGGGTCCGCACCAGGTGTGCATACCTGGGTGTACTCAAAGGCAAGCCGTTGGCTCAGGGCTCAGAGCATCAATGCCTTGTGCTGGAGGAAGATAACCGCTCCTGACGGGATTAAATGTTCTCTCCAGATTTCTGGACGTGTGGCCAAAATACACAGCAAATACCCGTCACTGGCACCTGCCTGAGCTCTCCTCAGATTCCGCAGTTGAAGGGGCCAGTGCGGCCCTGTGGCCGGTACCCCTGCCCTGCGGCCCCTCCCAGGCTCACGGGCCCTCCCTCCCCGAGGACCTTCGTGCTCCTGGCTGGGCTGTCTTTCCTGACGAATTCTGCTTCTTGGCGTCCTCATTCTGCACACCCTTTGTGGCTTTGTGTCTTGGGCTGTTGTCGGTCCCGCCTGACCACCGCGAGCGGCGACTGTTTGCTAAACTGCTTGCCTGTAGCAGCCGAGAGTGTGGGCGCTGCTTTCCCACCCTTTCGTTTTAGGACTCGTTAGGGTCGTGGGGTTACCTGGGCTGGCCGAGCACCCTTCCTGCTGGGGGCTGTGCCGCCTCCCCGAGCACATGCTCCCAGCCCCAGCGAAGGACAGGAAAGCAGGGCCCTGGGTTCGTTTTAGGGGCGGGAGGGAAAGCGGGAGGTCTCCGGGGCTGAGCCAGCCCCTTCGCCGCCACTGCCAGGTGTTCCTCCAGATGCAGATGGTGGGCGCTTGAGTTGCCTCCCCAGAGGTGCTGTTGTTTCCCGGAGCCCCACGCCCAGGAAGCTGGCAGTGTGTGTCCGGCAGAGCGTGAGGGCCTAGGCTCCATCAGGGCGGCAGCGGTTTCCCAGGACGTGATCACTGCTTCCGAGGGTCCTCTAGCCGGGTGCAGCGAGTGCTTGGGGACACACAGCCACAGGTGGAGAGGGGGACCCGCCTCCTGTCCCCGCTGTCAGGGAGTGATGTGTTGCCGCACTTCCTGTGACATGTTGACCGAAGCAGGGCTGAGGCCTGCCTGAGGTGGTGGAGACGGAGGGACTCACAATGACCTGGGCCAGCGGGACGGCCGTCTGCCAGACCGGTGAGGAGAGCCCCCTCTTAGACAGTCCTTTCGGTCAGGGCATCAGCTCGCTCCCCTCGGGAGCTCTGATTTCCTTTCTCTTAATACCCAGTAGTGGTCTGAGGGGAGGGGTCTGTGCCCGCGTCAGGACTTAGCAGCGGTGGCGGCGGTGGCGGCGTTGTCAAGGCTCCTGAGGGCCGGCCGCTGGCTAGTTAGGCTCAGAGCATGGGCAGCAGGAGTCTGCATGGTGGAAGCTGGCAGGAGGGAGGGCCAGGCTCTGGAAGCAGCTTCTCCCCAGCGCAGCGCCAGACTCTGTTCCATGCTGGTGGGCCCTTGGGGCGCCAGGCTAGTGTTGGCACAGAGGCAGCATTCCGGGTGCGCCCTGGAGCTCGGGAAGTGTTCTGCTGCCATGCTTGGGCCCTTCCCACTCTACCGAGGGCGGTGAACAGCCTCGGTTAAGGCAATTCCATTCTCCGTACCCTGGTTCCCAAGAGTCTTCACATGGAGGGTTGGGGGCCTACAGGAAAACACATCGTGGTTGATGTGCCCACGTCCTGGAAGGCTAGAGAGTGGGCATAACTCCATCCTCGCTGTCCACTCCTCGGGGTCAGTGTTGGTGGGAGCTCGCCTCCTTTGAGCCCAGGGCGTGGGGGAGGGAAGGAAGGAAGGAAGGAGGTCTGATGGCCGGAGGATCAACATGACTGTGACGGGTGTGCACAAAACATGGCCAGTGTGGAGGTCTTCCCTGAACCTGTGGGGCCTGCTGGCTGTTTCTGTTTCTGGGACCCAGCGATGCTGTGTGCCTGCGCCCCAGCGTGCCAGTGCGTCACCATGTCCCTGGACAGTTCCAGGTGTTTCTCTGGCTGGAAGTTGGTTTCTGTCCTCAGTGAAGATCTAAGGGAAACTGCATCTTCAGACGCTCTCGTGCTGGACTGTGCACGCCTGGTGTTTTCTCCACTGCTTTGTCCCCAGTGCGAGCTTGAGAGCTGCACACAGGAGGCGCAGGGAGCAGCTTGGTGTGGCACCCCTGTGCTGATGGTCACCACGCAACCCCTCCCAGTCCCTTCTCTTTCTCTGTGCTTGCCTGGGTGCCGGTGTCTGGATCTCACCCATTTTTCTGGGTGGTTTTTTTGGGTTTGCCTTTCCTCTGGTAGGTGCGAGGTTCTGAGGTGAGGTGTGGGCCCAAATGTGATGTGTGCCAGGCACTCCTCATCCTTTGCTCCCCACCACCCTGGACGAGACACCAGTATCCTCCCATTTTATAGGTGAAGAACCGAGGCTCAGGCAGCGCTGAGCAGCTGGGCGCTGAGCTCCCCCAGTTAAAGTCTGGCTGCCAGGAGCCCGGCACTGTGGTTGTGGGGGTGACCCCTTCTCACCACTCACTCTTGGGCCCTTACCCTCGCCTCCACCCTGGGCCTGGCTCCTCTCTCTGATGACCACAACCCTCCCCTCCAGCGCTTCCTGTCCTCAGTGCATCCCAAGCTGAGCTCTTTCTTTTCTCCCTGCACTTTCTTGCCCTCCTGGCATCTCTGTCCCAGGTCCTGGGGCCCCTCCCTCTGCTCTGGGGCCTGGGACCAGTCACCAAGGCCCATTTGTTCTAACTTCACTGCAGTGCTCCTGCTCTGCCTGCCTCTCTCCTGGGTGTGCCAGCAGAGCAGAGCCCCAAGAGTGCCCAGGGTCAGCCACTAACCAGGACAGCAAGCCACCAGTTTCCAGAGAAGTTTCTGGAAGCCAGACAGGGTCACACGTAGACTCATCTGCACGCCTGGCGGGATTCCTCTAGTCTGCCCCTTTGTGGGAGGCACTCACGTGCTACATGTGGTGTAAAGACCAACCTACCCTACCCAAGAGGATGGCAGGCTTAGAGGGATGGATTTTGGTACCTGCTTTGGATTATGCTAGTTACGTTGATTTGTAATTTGGATAGGCATGGCTTTTGCTAGATTTTCAGGTAATAGTTAAGTGTGTAGCTAGAATATTATCAGTTTT